GTCAGAGAATCGCTGTCTCCCGTATCTCCTGCGTAATTACCGCCATCAGTGCTTCGAGAAGGCGACGCCCCGTCCTGTCACCCCTGGATCGTTCCCTGCCTCGCCCCGAACCCCGGCTGTTTCATCCCCGTTCTCCACGCAGCCACTTGCATCCCACAGCCCCCGCCCACGTAGCGTTTTTCCACTTCGAGAATCATCACATTTTCCTCCGCTTCTCCAAAATCTCTCTTCATCCAGTTGCCCTCGAGAATCCGCCCTCCGTACACACCCTTACCCGTCATATTCCCAGACAATTTCATCCCGTTTCCCACAGGGTTCTCCATCTCATAGCCCACGAGAACTGCCATCGTCTCTTGCCCGTAGTCTTTCCCTCTCCGACCCTCTGCCCATATTCTTTGCATTTTCCTTCCTGTCCACTCACTGCTCCTTCTTCATCTCCATAAGATTTTTTACCCCATTTCTCACAACGTTTGTCCCAACAGCTCTCTCCATGCACATGTAACCGTGTTCCTGCCTCCTCCACATCCTCGTATATTTCTTTACCCTCCTTCCTCTCTCCCTTTTTTCTGTCTTATGTAGCGTCCGATTCCATTACCCAGGGGAATCCCCAATCCCCAGACGCCTTTGCATTTCCCTTCCCCGCTCTCTCCCTGCCACGGTTGTCCCCGTTTCCTCGACAGTCTTATCCACGCCATTGGCCCCGTGACCCCCCCCCCCGCCTCCCGACGCCCGCCTGCCTCGCTGTCAGCCTCACAACGCTCCTAGTCAGAGACTATTGATTCGCGCGATCCCTTTGCATGTATTAGCTCGGGAGCTATTCCTGCGCCGAGAGCGGCCAGGTAGGAAGCTTAGCAATTTGGTGGAGGGACGTGGGCTCGGGGAAGTCGGGCTCGGGGCTTGTGGATTTTCCGTAATCGATTGCAGGGGCGGATTTTGCAACTTTCGTTCGATGAGTGTGCACACGAATGAGTTTTTCAAATGCAGTCAAAGACCGAGATTGTTAGTGTTGAAATGATGCTCCGAGCAGCCCCTTTTCACTTTCCCGTATACTCTAAATAGAGATATTTTTGTAACACTGTAGGGAAACTGCCAATTTTAACAGAAAGCACGTTTTTATGTAATACGTCAATGTACAACTTGTGTTCAAGCATTTATCAGTACCAAAAAAATTGATATAGAGTGCAATAATAACATATACACTTTTAATATATTTGCAAATTTTTAATTGTAAGTTTTTCAATACCAATTTTCCGGCATTCTTCCAAGCAATAATTGCATATTTTAGGAGTGGGTCATTCCTTGACTTACATCACATTTGGAAGAAAAATAACTTTTTTAATGTAATTTATCCACATTTTGATTGAAAATAATAAACTTTTTGGCTTGCAAGCTCAAAAATAGATTGTATTCTCGGTTTGATGTGATTTATTTTATCAAAACAGTAAACAAATGTGACATACGGGAAGAAGTAAAATTTGTGCACGTTTTCTTGAGCTCGAGAAGCACTACTCATTTTTGTTTTTACTATACAATGTTGAATGATGATTCAAAGTACCAATAAAGCGTAGTTAGAAGCATTTAAAAACTAGAAAGCTTCGCTCTCTCTTAATAACACTTATTTGTATCGGGATACTAGATTCATATTTGTCTTCAATGTATTAGTAACAAAATAGTAACGGTCTTCCCGGCTCTTTCCTTACTACAACGAGCAAACAGAACTAAAAATTAAAAAAAAAAACACGTATGTATAATGAAGCTAAATGTAAATTCCGTGGTGCTAGCAAAATGTATGTACAGAAGTGTAGCGGGAGAAAAGATTTTAATTGACGCAAATTATTATTCAATAAAAATGATCACTACATATATCGAATTTATTTTTTTTTCTTCAAGATTCAATTGTCTCAGCACATATCATAATTTTGATATAACTAATGGCCTGCAGCAGAGAAAATTCCTCTGGACCGCACAATGTTTCTCCAAAAGTAACACGCAAATTTCTCAAGAGCAAGGAACATATAACAATGCATAAAATAAAATAATCTTTAACAAAAGTCTTTGCGAATAATGTAATAACACAATACGAATGCGAAGAACTACAATTATTTCCCTGCGAAGAATACCAAAAATATTTGCTGCTCCATAACGCAATACGTGAAGCAATAACAAATATTGAAAGGCCTGCAAGCTCTTCCTTAGAGCCTTGTCACGTAGCGTCAGCTGAACCGAAAAGCAGTGACGCATTGCGTGTAATAATTCAATCGGTAAAAGCGCAGTATTGCGAGAAGTGGAATAACACAATCATCTATTCGCATTTTTCAGGCACAATCTAAACTGATCCACTAGTTATTGGATTTTTCTAGAGTTTCTGGGTATCCAACGCTATCATAGAACTCCTGACACGAATAAAAAAGTTTTCTTTCAATTTCTGCGCGTTTTGGAAATAAGTAATATAAAATATTTGTAGTTGTAGTTACTTACATTCATTTTTTTAAACGATAAAAATGGTTTACCTTTTGAAAATATCGAGTTTTATTTTAAATATGTTTTAGTCCAATGCAAATTTTTGGACTTACTTTAAAGTAGATTGACCACTGGATACCTATATTCTTCTTGTAGTTACTAATACAATAATTTAGTAGATATTTCTGAAACTACATACTATTCTGCAAGTGATTTGGTATTAAGTGTTTTCGAGGCGCGTCATAATATAATATTATATAAATAATAATCATTCGTAATAAAAAATTATGATAATAATATTGTTTTCTACACATCTTTCAGCAAGCCATTTTCAAGAATTTCATGCTAATACAAAAACAATTCAATATGACATAATTTTACAGACGCGTATCTTAATGTTTGAGTGATCGTGGTAATTGATTAATATAATCTATGTTATTGAAGACTAGAAATAAAAACAGAGGACGTTTTTCCTTCTATTTGTGCAGGAAAAGTCAACATTTTGTCGAAAGGAACGGAAGATATTGCAAACGAGCAAAATCATTGTATCTTACGTTAAAGTTATTACAAACTTACTGAATATGCCCACACACCCCGTGGAACTGCTAATAGGTTAAGGAAAATCCTTCTCATGGCGCACACAAGTACAATTACCTCCGCAATGAACACAGTTACTCGGTACAAGGGCTTGTATCGTGCATTCTAAATAGGATTATTTCCGGAGACGCGTCATGCAACGATGCAGCGATACGGACAGCGAAATTTCATTCATTATTTCGCGTTTGACCTCTGTGAAGTGATGCATGGCAGAGAGATTACGCGAGCAGCCGCAGCGAGGCGTGGCGGTATTTGCATGCAGCAATGAAATTGAATACTTAATTGACTGGCGCGTCTCACCCTCTTCTCCTCTTGCATGCCCGGTCTACTCTAACACAACGTAACACAAGGTGTATGTACCCATTCTGAGTCTTCGTGGGTAAACACAAGCAGCTAAGGTTATTCTAGTTGAAAGAAAAGAGAGATGTTGAATGTATAGGAGGAACATTAATATATTTGAGGAAAGCACGATTTTGAACAAACTCGCCATAATCACAATCACACTCCCCACAAACAAAAGTTATAATTTGACAAACGTCTGCGAAAAATATAAAAAACCATAACTAATATTTGGTACGATACTTATCATTTAAAATTTATGAAATTGTATCGCATTTTAAAACGGATTAGAACCAAAACACAGTATAATCAAAGTGTCCACCAAAAACATACTCCAGATTCTGTGTTGATTTTCATGAAGAATGGAAGATCCAGTAACAACAGGAACTTGTTTGTTGTTGTTGTTGTTGTTGTTGTTGTTGTTGTTGTTGATTTAGCTTCGAGAAAATTGAGTTTAAATGTTCCTTTCGGGCGCGAAATTCAAACCAGCTGCCGCCTCAGCAGACACCAACAGTTCGACTGCCAACGGGGCTGCCATTGCATTATTTCTCCGCGTTTTTTGGTAAAACTCTCGAGTGAAGAAAACATCACTTGCCGCACTCTCTAGTACTATAAGAGGAAGTGTTTTCTGCATATTTCTATCATTTTATCTAGTAAATCTATTTAAAATTAATTTTGATTATAAATTATGACTATTTCTTTCCAAAACTTTCTCACCTCTTGTCTCAGAGTTCACCAGGTGTATCAAATATTCAGATTGTTATTTTTTCTACATATGAGGCAACGAGATTGTTTTATCACAACTAGTAAAAAAAGAAATTCAAATAATTCGTAGATGTGTGACGGAAGGTGTTGAAACAGAACTAAATTTGTTGAATAAAACTAAACAGTAAAAAGTTTGGAACATTTTTACTGTCAAAACCTCTCAATGGCTGATATTTTTGTTTAGATTTAGATGACCGTGATTGAAAATGTGAATAAAGGGGGTACATAAAAAATCAGATACAACAACATAAATTAACAATAAACTAGAATACAATAAACTACATTGTCAGTGAGTTGAAAATAGCCAAACAAAGCTATCGTATGCATTTATGACAGCAAAATTTTGTACTTCAAGACAGCGCATGAGATGCTCTAAGAGAGTGTTCTATTACATACAAAATGCAGTTAACAGCGGAATTGGAGAAGTAGGAGGTGATTAATCTTTCGTCAATTGACGGATCTAGGAAGTTTACAAGTTATTAAGAATGTCTTTTCATTTTTATTTAAAATAATTATTAGAAATATTCTACCATAACCTCTAGTGCCTGCGAACTCTGCTGATTTTGATTATGAACAAATGTTGCTATTAGAGTAGAGTTACTATTATAATTTTTGTGCTGCCCTGTTGCAAAGCTACTTTACTGGAAGTAAATGGAAAAAGTAAGGAAATATGTTTTACGCAATTTCATGCATTATCATATTTGAATAAAATATTCCTCTTTAAAATCTTTCTTGTTTGTGTTATCTCAAGACGATACATGTTGCTTCTAAGATCACTTATTTGGTGATATATCAAATATTTTGTTTCTCTCTAGATTGATAACTTAACTTTCGGCTTTCTAACCTTTAGCTGAAAGTAAGTACAACAAACTTTATGCGACAATCCTAGACGTTTTTCATACGTATGTAAATGTATGTCTTTGTAATGCATAACATCACGAAACATATTACAATGAAATTAAGATAAAATATTCTATACCACGTTCTGGTGATTATCGATGGGAAATTTTCTTCAAAATTTGCAATTACTTACTTAATGTAGAGTCGAAGCGCAATGACAGAAGTTGAGGCAGGAGGCCAACCTGAGAAAAAGGAAAATAATTCTAAAACTTCACATCAAAGTTATAGGATAGCCAAAAATAGTTAAATTTAATTTAAAAAAATTAAAATCTAGGATACAAGGTAAAATACAATCTTAGTACCTTCATAATCACAATCTTAATACCTTCTTGGTTGGTCATATCTAAGAAAATATGATAAAACATATTTTGAATATTTTACTATTTATTTAATTGTCTATTTATTGAAAGACAAAACAATTAAAACTGTATGAGACGTACGCATGCCACATTGAAAAGTAAGAAACACCGATTTTGAAAATATACTGCTGCTACTTACGAACACGAATCTCACTGTACTGTACTTTATAAGTATCGCGTGATAAGAAAAGTTTCGTTTCCTAAATGAATGCACATCCTGGAGAGCACACAGTTGTCGGATGTTTACCACTGAGTTTGAGAACGTCTCTGGGGTGGAAAGATCGTTGCATATCAAAGTAGTTGGGAAGAGTGGCGTTTGTGCTTCAAATTGTTGTATCCGAATTGCAGCGAATGTAACGCCAGATACGAAAATAATACGCTAAGAACCGCGAAACGAATCAGACTTTCTACTTGACAAATGAAACATTGTCAGTCATTCAACGCCACCCGCAAATATAAGTGAAGGGGCTAAACACCATGTACAAGGAAACAAGTTAGGGGGTAAATGCAATTCGAATTATGAGATATGATTCTGGAACTTCAGGTATGACCAGACATTGACCAGACATCTTCTCTTTCCATAGTCCCTTACAGCCGAGGCCACTAGCCCTCTCGAGTTTCCAAAGTGCACCGCGAAATATACGCTAGATATTAATCTCTTTCTCTCTCCGCTCTCTTTATTTCCACTCCTTTCCTCTCCTCATCTCTCTCCCTCAAACTCTCATCCTTCTCTTCCCTTCTTATTCATGTTTCCTTTCACTGTATCGCATGACGGCTAGATTATTCCGTAACTTTCTTTTCCATTGCCATTCCTCGTTCTCTCTCTCCTGTCTCTTCTTTAATCCCCTAGCTCTTTCCTAGTCATTTTTCTCTTTTCTCTAGTCTTCTAAATTATTCTTTTTCTCTACTGTACATTGCTTCCATTATCTCTTCTTCTATTTCATTTTGTGACTCCGTATTCTTTCTTATAATTTTGATATTTATATACCTTGCTTTCCACTCTTCCTTTACAGTCATTTTCTATTTCATTTCGAGCCGAACATTTTTTAGAGACCTTAGAAAGAGTCTTAATACAGAGTATAAGGAAGATTATACAAGCTAAAGCCTAAAAATGAAAGTAACTGGCAGATTTGAGACTCACAGAGCCTGACAAAGAGGAAACTAATGAGAAATCGTTCTGAGGTTACATATTTTACGAGAAAAGAAGAGAGGAAGAATGGCGAACGGGAAATGATGGAATGGAAGGGGGGAGAGTGAGGGGCAAGAGGGCTCGGTGCAGGAGGAGAGAATCCAGGGGCAGGAGGCAAGAGGCATCGGGCGACCCG